TGGGAATATATCACGGTGGACGCGATTACAAAGTTCCGCTAATATAGTGTAGCGATTTTTTGTTTCGTCTGAAGCATTTGCCCATCTTTCTCCAACAATTTTTGAAATTTCTTCGAGTTTTACATTTGGATTTTCTTTGATAATTTCACTTTGATTATCCTTTCGATACAAGATAAATGCATTTTGAGGTCGGGTAATTCTATCTTGTTTTCCTCGAGTTTTTTTACAAGGAGCTAAAAGCTGTTCGATTGTATGCTTAAAATTAAAATCATTTTTGTTGGAAAAAAACCCCGGAAGATTATTCTCAACTGCAAGTTTAAATTTTTCTTTAAATTCAGCAGTTTCAAAATAATGAATATTTTTTTTTCTTCGCAATTTAACTGATTTTACAGCTGTAGACTTAGCTTTCGGCATTTTTTTTTTCAAGATTGTTCGTCTATCTTTTGCATCCTTTTATAAGTTTTTGACCTATAATCCTTTTTTGTCTTTGTTTTGAGAGGAATTTTATTTTTTTGTTCGATTTACTATGATAATCATAAAGAAAGGTCGATTATTTTTGAAGATCATAAACAACCAAGGACCAATACCAATGAAAATGTTTCAAGAATGGTTAGACTTTGACCCGAATTTAACTTAGATTTAAGTGTAACTCACCTAAAGCAGAATTTATAAAATCGACAAATTTTTGTTACACTGCTCTTTGTATGTGCATAACTCTTAAAAAAAAATTATGTTTCAAAATTGAAACTAAGCCATGTGGAGATAATGTCACATTTTGATATCAAGTGCTATTGTTATTACGCAAAAAACTTTGCATTTATTATTTATTTTTTATCTTCATTTTCATTCCCAAAGTGTGATCGAGGTAGTAAATTATGTCTTTATTATGCTTTAGTGAAAATTAGAATTAAACTAATGTATTTAAACACGATTCTCTTTTTAGACATTAAAGATTTACCGGTTTGATTTGTGGACACCTTTATCACGTGATTTTATTTGACTTGTTATCACATATATATTTCGTCTCCGTTTAATAAATTATAGTTTATTTACTGTGGTTATTTGATTATTTTATATATATATATATATATAAGAATATCACATTGTATGTATTTCCGAACCAATTATAACATTATCAATGTAATTAAAAAGGCAAAAAATTACTTAAACTAATGGCACGATAAAATGACAGAATTAAATTAATTATATGACTCTAGCGCCCATTTCAAATATGATTTATAATATGAATTGATGTTTTTTCCTTTGTTAAAAAGAAAGATAACTTATTGAAGGCAGAAACAACTAGAAAGCATATGATTTTTTTTCTTTTAGCTAAATGTTTCTGATTTGTGTACTGACTGAAAGATTGAATCGTTGGTCACGCAATACACCTTTATTTATTTTTTTTTGCAAATATGTATTTGAAACATCGAAGTGCACATATGTTAATCGCGTCTATAAATGTGTTATATAGAATAGAATATTTTTATCTTAAATAACTTGACTGATAAACTTTCAAACGATAATTGATATCACACTATCATAATTTTATAAATTTTATGGATGGAAAACTTGTGCATAATGTTGTAACACAAATTTTGGACCCTGCTTTACTAATCCCATAAATAAAATAATTTCGGAATATTTGTGAACACGAAGCCAACATCTACTGCACAGTGTTCTATTTTTATTCATTCATTAAAATTAAATCTTTGTAAAAGAATTAAAGACTGTAATAAACGTTTTGAATGTGACTAAAAAGTAAAACGTGCTATAAATTTGTCTGACAAAGAATCTTAATCAAGAGAAAGTTTGTTATGGTTTATTTATTATTCACAAATATTGACAATTATGCGCCTTGCAATCTTGAATACTTCTCCATTTGATAGTGCAGCATGAATTCCTTTTCTAATCCATGTGGTCGCATGTAAATTTTATTCGCATATGAGATTACTGAATATACACCTTTATAACGAAACACAACATAAATGTGCGAAGTATATACGGTGTCATTAACAATCCGACTAGATCATAAAAAAAGACTAAAGCGGATATGAAGGAACCTTTAACCGGTGAATATATTCCTTTAATAAAACGCCAAATAAGCAATTTAAACATTTTCATCGATAGATCACTATTAATTATATTATTTATTATTCCTTTTATGTAATTTGTCAAACTTTACCGCCGATTATAGGCCCATACACTTCAATTTTTAAGACGGAAATGAAAATAATCAATAGAAAAGTATGTGTAATGACTTTGAATTCACAATTTATTCGGCCTAACGGCATGGCCAATCAGTCAAAAGATATTTATCCACTTTTTTACAATGAAGTTATGTACTCACAGATTACAGCGCTATGCAATAACCGATTAGATAACTAAACAAAGGTTAAAAAACAAAGAGATAAGATCTACCATAATGTTTTTTTATTGGACTGATTTACGTGTACTGATTATCATTCCTAATTTAGAAAACTCGGTCTCGTAATCTATTGTTACCATTTTTATATTTTTGTACTACCGATGAATTAATGATGTCAGAATACGTTATATAACTCGTGATTTAGTACAGTACTTTAGCAATCCTATACATTTTTCATTCATAATCTTTAATATTATACATGCATTAATTCACCACAACATATATGGCAATATTTAAAGCTTCGAATTATAAATCAATTCATGTTACAACGGCGCGTGGAGTGTACTTATTCATGACAAGCTCTTGTCTATCTTGCACAATTTTGTTGCTTGCCCAGATATCATCCGATAGGTAATGATAAAATCATGTCAGCAGAAAAACAAATTCTACTGTTTTTGGAAAAACCTTTTTCTGTTCTCCTTAACTCCGCTTTAATGCTTACAAATCGAAAATACCAAGTGGCACATCATAATTACATAAAAATACATGAATCGTTACGCATAGTAAAATAAATTTTACACTCCATTCCAATTTGAAACAAAATGGCAGATATATGTTAGGTAGTTCATTATTACGGGTAAATACAAATATATTCTGATCAAAGAGCAATTTTCAATTTCTTTCATACGTTTTTAGAGAATATACCGTTTTACTAATTTAGCATACAATCAATTTAAGTTAGTGCTTTACAAATCTAATTAGCGTGATGAATACTATTTTCTAACTTTATTCAAAAGTAAAAGTCTGGACTTTACATGTGAGAAGGTCTTGAAATTATTTAAAACACGTGAAGACACAAAATTTATAGTAATCAATTATATCATGGCCAGTGTTCGAAACTAGTCTTCTGAGTTCTCATGGGAACACTATTATAAATTTGTGCACGGTAAAATTTTTTAATGATCAATACTAAAACTTATTGGGAACAGTAAAATAATAATAGTGTTCTCATAAGTATATAATAAATAACAGTATCACGCTGCCATACAAAGTCAGAAACCGATAAATATACATGTACAGTATTAATCTAAGAAATTGGATTACAGCCTGCCCTCCATGCAGTCACTCTTTATATAGCTTCTCCCTCTTTATAAGCACATTAATTTTTAGAACAACCTTATATAAAACATAAGAAATTTGACCTCTATACAGGCACAATTACTTATAAGCACAGAATTTCTTAGAACCGAGGGCGTGACTGTAGAGAGGTTTGTTAATACTAAATACAATTATATTATATATTTCTATTTTCAAATATACTGTATATATTGTTTAGTTTTTTAGTGAGCATAAAATCGTAACTTGAGAACACCTACATCTATTATTGTTCTCATATTTGGATCTGAAATTTCGAACACTGATAATGACTCGTGAATTTCTTTTATTTTTACTTAACAATTTTATTGTCACAAAGTCAGAAATTTGTATAATATCCGAAAAAAAATAAATTCAAGTTAAGTGTTAAACTAAATTTTTATCAGGAATACCGTATCCTGCCGTGAATAAGCACCCACCTTTTGCAATTTTCATATCCACGTTTCTCATCGGATCTGAATAATTTTGGTACTATTCGAATCAGCTTATCAAAACGATTCGAACGATACCAAAATTAAACAGATACGACCTCTAGGTCATGCGAAACTTGGATATGAAAATTGCAAAGGTGGGTACTTATTCACGGCAGGATACAGTACTTCATATATGTCAAAGTGGGTAATAATACGATTGTTGAGTTATAAATCGATAAAATAATATTGAATAGAAAATTTCTAAGCATACACTAGTGTACAAACACGGGTATTAATTAATTGATTTGCAAATCCGCGCAACATATAAATTCATAAAAAACAACTTCATAATATTAGAGTTAGGGTTAGAGGTTTGGGTTAGAGAGTATTTTATACTAAAATTTTGCGTAGATTATTTTTGTTAGAACCCCTCCCCTAAGTTAGTTTCATAAGCAAAATTTCGAGTAATAACATTACCCTGTGTGTGCACACTGGTGTACATATAGTAATTCTCTATTGAATAATAATGATAAAATCTTTTATCAAACAATTTTTGAATAACGATGCTTATGCGAAATGATAAAGCATAAGACTTTATTCTTTTTCTTTCATAATGTAAATAAATCATTTATGTAAAGTTAAATTTTTGTTTGTCTAACTTTTCCTCTCATTTTTTTCTAACTATCGAAAAGCCCAATGATAGAAATTAATATCATGTAAAACTAAAAATTAACTATAGTATGAACTTGTTAGTTTCTAGACAGTTGACTTTTTTTATAAAATTACAAAATATTTTTTTCATGTAGAACATTTTGAGAAGAATTAAGTTTAAAGAATTCAGAGTTTGTTATAAAGAATCTCGTGAAAAGAAGGTTAATTGTATTTTTAAGATTTTATTGTTCTAATTTATACAAGAAGTTCGTCAATATTCATGGGCTTCATCAAATTAATATGTGACCTTACGTCATCGTAAAAAAATAAATCATTTTACTAGGACATTAAATTTGGAATAATTTAATTCATAAAAAAAGTTCAGATTAAAAAATGTTTTCATTATACAGTGATTATGGATGTGCCACTGTATTAGCCATCAATGGCTCGTAAATGGAAGTGTTCTTCCAATGTTTGTAACGTGAATAAAGTACGTATGAAATATAATAACAGAAAAGGCCAAGCCCAAATCCAAATAAAATGGTAGACATAAGAGGTTGTTTATTTGTTGAATTATTCAGCAATAAACGTATTTCAACATTTGCAAGAGTAGAATCATAATAGCATGTATTATCTAGACCATTTCCTATAATGAAGTCGATTGTTTCATTTTTTTTGACTGTAATACCACTTTCTGCTGACTCGTACGACTTAAGATCTCCGATACCAAATATATCGGTTTCCCAAAGTGTCATTGAATTGTTATATATAATATAACCTCCCGTATGTGTAAAGTTTGAATGGTCATCAATATGCGTGAATATAACGCTTAGAGCATAATTTCCGTCTACCGGTGCAGTAAACCTCGCTACAGAAAATTTACCATCGCAAGAAGGATGTATATTGATGCTATGTGCGGGATATATAATCCTACTACTACCAACATCTAAAATGGTTGTAATTGGATTGAGGTTGTATGATATACTTGGACCGTCTTCATGTATTGGATTAACGTTGTTTTGCGGGTTTGGAACATTTTCAGGGGGAGTCCAAAAGATAATTCCACTATCTAGTGGGTCCAGTGTTAAGTGTGTAAATAAAACAAATGACCCAGTAACTTGATAACCGGGAGGTTTATATCCATAAGACCATACTGTATAAGAATTTATAGTAGAAAAATCAGCGCTTAGTGACCATGCTGAAGCCATAATTTTTCTATGATAAAGTTATCAGAATTGCCTGTTTGCACACGAAAGGATTCAAAGGTCTTTCGAAATTTCTTTAGATAATGCCAGTGGGCGTAATACGTACGTACATATATGTTTACTACTGTACACTTAAATTTTACACGAAACATCATATTCAGTAAGGTGGCTGTTGCACATCAAATGATTATTTGATTTAGAGATCTTTCAAGCTATTTGAATAAAATCTGATCTTTTGGCAAAGGATTACATTCGTTTTTATATAAAAATGAAAGCAAGGGTATTATAGAAACTGAAACCATTTTAAATTAGAGTCTAAATGCTCAAATGATCGTGCTACGTTAAATGCTTTATTTTTCTTTTACAAAATCAATGCAATATTATTTAGCCTTTCCGAATTTTTATAAGTGCTATAATCTTGGTTTGCGAATCTGGTTTTAAACATATATGATTTTTTGGGGGGTTTTTTTTAAATCAAATGTTTTACTATGTTAGTAACTTGATTCGTCGAATAATGGTAGTGATTTGAGCATGATAATGATTCAAAATCATCAATCGGTTAATTTAGGTTGACGGGCGCAGTCAACAGATCGAAAAGGAAGTTAAGCAGAGAGACCTGGGCGGTGACGATCACAAGGGATCCAAGATGTCGGTGGGAAAAAAACGGTTCAATCACCATCCAATTCGAGGAAGGAAGGCGCAGGGAGAAGTTAAGTGATCAATCAGTTGCCTGATTAGGGCATTTCACATGAAGACTAATATAACAAAGATTTATCGTAGGTATAAATGCACAGACGCTAGGGCGGGTTGTGGCGGGCCCACAAAGGAAGCAAATTCGCACCCAGCCCTCCCTGTCCCACTGAATCCTGCCATTTTGCATCCATGCATGTCTACAGCCGGCCTGCGTTACGCAGGTTGGAAACCACCGGCTAATCTTAAGCATCAATCTCAAGCAGCAACAGCTTGACTGCAATAACTCAGGGTCGACAGCCGGCCCGTGTATGCGGGTGGGAAACCACCGGCTGACCCTACAAATAGCTATATCAATTATACATCGAATGCACTGATGTATGCTGTATATTAACGCTGAAACAAACTAATAAAGTTCAATATCCGGCGCTATATGCTGGTATGCTTCCAAATAATAAATATGGATCACAAGCGTGCGATCCTGTTCGCTGAACTGATTCGACCGGGTACAACCTGTTTTATTGACTATACATGTAACCGCATAAAATTCGCAAAATTTCATTGGCTGCAGATCGTCAACGTATTTTTCGATTAAAAAATTAACTTAGCGTAAGGATGAACATTCGGACAACATCAGGAGGAGCCTTATATACAGCAAATATTGCAAGGAATGTTTTTTTTTTGTTAATGCGCAGAAGGTGGTTTTACAATCAAAATTTTGAGCTATGGATGATTTTTTGTTTTCACGCTACACCTAATCCTGTCCCGTAATTGGTTTAAATTTCACGTGACCACGGACATTTATGCAGTAATGTTTATAGATATCATAATATCATTTATAACTTTAATATAACTATAATTTAAACTATAACCCTAACCCTAACCCTAGCTTCCGATAGTGACAGAATCCCGACAAGTCAAAATCTCATAAAGACAAAATCCTGACAGTTCAAAGATAAGATTTTAAACTATCAAGATAAAGTCTTAACTATTCGGGAATTTGAGTTGTTGAGATTTTACCTTTGTCAGGATCTTTGGGATTTTAGATGTTGAGATTTTTTGGTAGAACTATTCAATTATAATTCCTAACACATTTCGAACAAAGTCTTGACTTTTTAGAATTTCAATTTAAGTTACATTTTTAAACTAGTTGACAAACTTTTCTCATATGTAACTAATACCACTTCGTGTAATATGCTATTATCAAAGTCTAGTTTATATCCGATTTTCTGTCAAGCTTTATTGGGTAAAAAAATCAATCTTCGTAAATTTTCATACATTAAATATGTTAAACAAATCTTCACATGATATTCAATATAATGATAAAACAATCTGTAGAACGAGTATTACATGCAATGCAAAATGAAATGGTCTAAGAAAACCATTTTCCAATTATTTTTAAGATTTATTTATTTAACTCTAAGTTAAAATATCTGTCATTTTATATACAGTACTTAGTGACTGAACTCATATCAGCTTGTGACCCGCAAATTAAACTCAGAAGAGTTACTTTTTAAGTTAATCGTATGATTAAAATTTTGTGTAACATGATTATCACAAAAAATTCATGTTGTGTAACAATAATTACTATAATTTCATAGGCAAGCAGTATAAATCAATTTAATTTTATATACATTATTTATACAGTTTAAAGTACTTTTTAAAAAAAATAAAACTACGAATAATAGTGGAGTCCTACAACCCTAATAAAACCTTCTATATACTTCTTTTTTGTTCAAATTCTTTTTTGTTTTAGAGAAGTTAGCATAATAGCCTTCTTAAAAATAGATAGAATTTGGTTATCACCGTGCTAACTTCCCTAAAACAAAAAAGAATTTAGATTATTTTTAATAGTGGATTCCTATATAACCAGAATAAACCTTTCTGTATACTTCTTTTTTGTTTATTCTTCGTAGTTTTATTATTTTTTAAAAAGTACTTTAAACTGTATAAATAATGTAAAATTTAAATTGATTTAAACTGCCAATCATACTAAAGTCTGCCTATTACCTATAATTAGGGTGTTGCAAATCAGTTAATTTACAAACATATATAAAATGGTATATAAAATTAGTATATTAAAGGTTTTGTAGATTATATTTAATAATTTGTAAGAGATAAAATTGCTATTTATTTATTATTAAAAAATTAATTTATATAAATTGCTACTACTTTTATTTACTAAATATTTTCTAAATTTGTAAATAAATAAGTATATTTTTTAATAAGAATTACTATTTGTATACTAATATGTATATATAAAATATTATTATTTTTTAAAATTACAATTACATGAGCGCTTTTAACAAAAAAAAATTTCTTACAAAATCTTGGTATAAACTAAACTTTACCCAATTTCAAACTTTACTTTTATCTAAATCTCCCATACAATCACTTCCTACTTAATTACAAATTTTACACAATTATATGATTTTATATGATTATTTTTTTATATTAAAAATATTTCTATATAATCACTATCACATTTTTTTGTAAGTTTTTTTTACTAATTTATCAATATAAATAACTTTAATTATAAGAAAAAGGTTTAGATTGCTTATAAGCTAAAATAAACAAATTTAGAAAAAATTATTAACTAAAAAAATTTTTATAAATTCTTGGCAAAGTTTTTAAATATTAATTTTAAACTTATAGTTCTTAATACAATATTATAGCTTATAAAAAATAACAACTCTTATTATTATATCTTTAGTAATTTACTAATAAAAATTAAGACTTGTATTAGAAGTAAAAATTTTTTAAAAAACAAAATATATAAAAATTTAAAAAATTTAAAGAAAATTTTGTAGTAAAAATTTTTAAAGCAAAAGCTTTAAAATTTTATTACTCTAAAGATTTATAATAAATCTAAAATATTTTTATAATAAAGTATATAAAATATAGAAAAAATGTACTTGTCACCGGTGGTAACATTCCCCAGTTCCGGATTTGGGGTCGGTCTGCCCCTTAATTCGATCTAGATAAGGTTGGTTTGTTTTTTTTTTTTAAATCTGCTTTTTCTTTTCTTCGTGTTTTATTTTTCTTTGTTGCTTCGCTGTCTTGCTTTTTTTTTTTTTTTCGCTCATGTTTTTTGTTAACTTATTAATTTCTTTATTCTCTTTTTAGACTTAGGTTTTGCCAAAATGTGTGGTTCTTGATTTTGGATAGGAGTTAGTTTCGCCAGAATGTGGTAATTAGCATGGGTAGTACCTGTAAGTAGGTTTAGGTTCTTTTTCTTTCTTTTTGTTTTGTTCTTTCATTATTCGCTTTTTTGATGTATTTTTTTTTTTCTCATATAAGTTTCGTTTGAACATGGAAATTAGCATCGGGGTGATACTTGTGGTTAAGTTTTGGTTCTTTTTTCTATTTTTCTTTTTGTTTTTTTTTTGTTATTTGCTTTTCTCACGTGTTCTTTCTTTTCCTCATATAAGTTTCACTGGGACATGGAAATCAACATCGGGGCAGACCTGTAGGTAAGTTTTGGGGGTTTTTTTCTTGTTCTTTGTTTTATTATTTCATTATTTCTTTTTTGATGTGTTCTTTCTTTTCCTTGTATAAGTTTCGCCAAAACGTGAAAATCAACATCGGGGTGGCACCTGTGGGTAAATTTGGGTTTCTGATGTGCTTTTTCTTTTCCTTGTGTAAGTTTTGCCGAAATGTGGAAAACAGCACTGGGGCAGCACCTGTGAGTAAGTTTGGGTTCTTTTTTCTTGTACTTTTTTGTTTACTCCTTTGTTATTCACTTTTCTGATGTGTTCTTTCTTTTTCTTATATAAGTTTTGTTGGAACGTGGAAATTAGAATCAGGTGTCACCTGTGAGTAAGTTTTGGTTCTTTTTTCTTGTTCTTTTTGTTTTATTTTTTTGCTATTTACTTTTCTGACTTGTTTTTTCTTTTCCTCATATAAGTTTTGTCAGAACGTTGGAATTGGCACCCAGAGCGGCACCTATGGGTAAGTTTGGATTCTTTTTCCTGCTTTTTTTTTTTTTTCTTTGTTATTCGCTCTTCTGATTTGTTCTTTCTTTTCCTCGTATAAGTTTTGCCAAAATGTAAGAATTGGCACCCGGAGCGGCACCTGTGGTTAAGTTTAGATTCTTTTTCTTGCTTTTTTTATTTTTTCTTCGTTATTCACTTTTCTGGCTTGTTCTTTCTTTTCTTTGTGTAAATTTCATCAGAACGTAGGAATTGATACCAGAAGCGGCACTTGTGGAAAAGTTTGGTTTTTTTTTTTTTGCTAGAGCACAAAATTTGTATATAAGGAAATTTGTATATATATGAGGTTATTATTATGTAATTTAACTGAGTTAAAATTAT